GACTTGGGGAACCCCGGCTCTCCCCACTTCTGACAACTCCCCCATAGCGTCCACCTCCTGGAATTCCTGACCGACCCCTTTCCCCAAACCTGCAGACCTTCAGCTTCTCTGTGAAACCTGGCCTCTGACTCCCTTGCGGTTTCCCTGACTTAACCCCTTATGACTTTTGACCTCAAGGTCATCTGCCTCCCGTCTTGGTGTTTCATTCACTAGGTTCATGAACCTTACTCCTTCTTGACCTCTGATCCCTCCCCAATTCTGCACACGCACACGCATACACACACCCCACCATCTATCCAGCTTCTAACCCTTGTCCCCCGCCGCAGGTGACCCGGTTAGGAGACGTTGCCAATAAAGTAACCATGGGATTGGCGGCCTCCAATCCGGCCCAGCAACTCCCAGACCTGTTGCTGCTGGCGGGCCCCGGCAAGGAGGACGGACGCCTGCAGCTCTACGGGTGACTGCCCCACCCCCAGCCCAGCCCAACCCTCCTTCCCCAGCTCAGGGCACCCTGGGCTCCCTGCAGCCCCTCCTCGCGCCCAGATGACCTGAGGGCTACCAGCCCTCGCTGGGCTGCCGCCCCCAGAAGAACCAGGACAGGGCCGTCCACAGGGGCCAGAAATCAGGGATAGTTAGCCACCAGGGGGAGCGGTCCTCAGCCACAGCCTGGCAGGGGTCAAGAGGATGACCTGCCACTAGTGCCCACTGCATGCCAAGCACCCCCTGGGCCACTCATCTCGTCTCCTCTCTGACATCATATTCTTTTTTTTAAAATATATTTTATTGATTTTTTACAGAGAGGAAGGGAGAGAGAGAGTTAGAAACATCGATCAGCTGCCTCCTGCACATCTCCTATTGGGGATGTGCCCGCAACCCAGGTACATGCCCTTGACCGGAATCGAACCCGGGACCCTTGAGTCCGCAGGCCGACGCTCTATCCACTGAGCCAAACCGGTTTCGGCATGACTTCATATTCTTATAGGGGGGGGGCCCTTTAGCCCCATCCTCCAGAGAGAGAAGCGGGGCCCAGAGAGGGGAGCCGCCGGCCCAGCGTCTCACAATGGGTCAGGGGTGGAATCGGAACCTTGGGCTCCTCACAATGGCGACCTGTGTCCCGCTGCGCGCTGCCCCTTCAGGTCTCTGGTTTTTCTCGGGAAATGTAATGCAGATTCGACTCCAAAGTATAAAAACACACAACACAAGATACACGTTTCCCCATCCTAGGCTCCTGCGTCCAACTCCAGCCGCAAATACCCAACCATGCCCATGGGTATCGTGTATTTAGAGAAGTGTTCTGCCAGTGGCTTTGATTTAAAAAAAAAAAAATGTTTTATTTATTTTAGAGAGAGTGGAAGGGAGAGAGAGAGAGCAACATCAATGATGAGAGAAACATCGACCGACTCCCTCCTGTGCGCCCCCTACTGGGGATCAAGCCCAAGACCTGGGCATGTACCCTGACCTGGAATTAGACGGTGACCTCCCGGTTCATGGGTCCATGCTCAACCACTGAGCCACGCCGGCCGGGCGGCTCTGACTTTTTTGTAGTTCACTTGGCGGCAGAATCTGATTCTGACCTGAACTAAAGGTGTCTCACAGCCTTTAGATATCCCTGTCTCTGAGTTTAAAACGTTCCACAAAGCGGTATCCAGGCGTCTTATGGTGGCCTGGCCTTCTCTACAACATTCCTTTTCTTTTCGGTGCTAATTGTATTCCACCAGTTGATCTCCCTGCTCACTGAGCCGTGACCTGCGGTGGGAAGGATGCCCAGGGTGGCACAGCGGGAAGGCTTTGACCCCCATAATCTCCTTTAGCACCCTCCCCCCGCCAGCCCCCGAATAAACATACCATCCACGTCAAAGCATTGAGCTTGCTCTGCAAACTCAGCCTCAAGGCTCACCCTGGCCCCTCCCTGCTGACCAGTTTACAGCCGGAGTTACTCTGGAACACTTTTTTTTTTAATATAATTTATTGATTTTTTACAGAGAGGAAGGGAGAGGTATAGAGAGTTTTCTATCCCTCTCCCTTCCTCTCTGTAAAAAAATCCAACAGCTGTCTCTTGCACACCGCCAACCCAGGTACATGCCCTTGACCGGAATCAAACCTGGGACCCTTGAGTCCGCAGGCCGACGCTCTATCCACTGAGCCAAACCGGTCAGAGCTCTCTGCACCACTTCTGATGGACATCTAGTGTGTGTTGGCCCTTTAACAGTTGCAGGCACATGCTATAGGCCACTTTCCCTCCACTCACTCCGTCAGCAGGATGTGAATACCCATTTCATATCCACGTGAGTGCAGCTACCAGGTCCCCTTGTGGGGCATACACGACTGAACAGACTCTGGGCCCTCGGGCACCACTCTTTGTGGGGTTTTTTTGGGGGGGGGAGGGCATTCTTGCTATTCTAGAGAACATCCTTAAGCAAAAGGCCACCCTCAGATGACCTGGGTTCAAATCCTGGCTTCCCCTCTTTTCACTAGCTTTGGCCCAAGTTCCCTACCTGTCAGTGCCTCAGTTTCCTCATCTGGAACATGGGGATGAGGGGAGAGCCCCCAGCCAGGGCTGCTAGGGGGTAAACTGAGTAAAAGTGCTTAGGACATTGGTGCCTGGCACAGAGTAAGCTGTCAATGCCAGTGGCTGTTCTTCCATCTTGAGAATATAATCATAGATCGTCCCCCTCTGAGGTGGTGTCTGGTGTCTTGGGGTTACAGCCAGTGTGGCAGGCAGGGGACATCCATGTGCCCGGGTAGGAGGGCGTAAGACCAAGTCCTAGAGGTAGGCTTGCTGGGCCAGAGGGGGCCTCTGTGGCTCCCTAATGGTTGTGATTAAGAATACAGATCCCGCTGTGTGACCTAGGCCAGCTTACCCACCCTCTCTGGATTGTTCTCTCCTCTGCCTGGGGCCTTGAATCAGGCTGGAGGCGGAGCAATTCATTTCTTCAAATACTCAACCAGTCTCCACCCACGGTCCTTCTTGTCACTCGGGGTGCTAGGGAAGCAGCAGTGACAAAATCAGCCCCAAATCTCTGCCCTCCAGCTCACCTTCTACTGGGCAGGCAGACGGAATAGATGGCAGTTTGTCCGACGGGACAAAAGGTCTGTGGATCCGAATGGGGGCCCAGAGAGGGGACCGTGCGGAGGTCTGCAAGCCTGGACCTGGCTGCAAATAGGCCCAGGATTGCAAACAGACTTCCCTGAGAGAGATGAGGGGGCCAAGCCACG